GCTTATTCTTTTGATCCCAATAGACCTAGTGAAAACAATCGGGCCTTATCCTTCTAGACAATCACCCCTCGTTATATGCTCATTTTTCAGCTATATGGGGCATCATTGGTGGTTGTGAAAAGGAGGTGGTCCTTGTTCTCAAAAAGGGAAGCTCTGATTGCCAAGAAATGTGTGCTCGAGAAGGAACAAAAGAGGAAGATGCTTCAAGACCTGAGTGGAGCAATACAATAGCTCTAAATAATACAAAGGGTGGGAGATGATTAGAGTTGATTGTTCAAAAGAGGGTTTGCATGTCTTTCTTATGGACAATGAGTAGGTAAGTTCCATAGCATTGGGTGGAACTATGAAGTATAGGTACTTCGACAAATAATGCTATACTCGTATCGGGTACTAGTACTTTGCATTGTTGTTCTGCATACATATTAGGTACACAAAAAACATACCTAAATTTTTCTTCTTAAATTTTGTCGTTCCCTAGAGGTACCTAGTATATACCGAAGCCATACAAAAGCCGGAATAGTATTTTCTTTTATACAAAGGTGAATTCAATTTTATTGGATTTTTTCATGTGTTGATTTTAAAATTAAGCTTTGGTTTGTTAGTTATTTAATATAATCATATTTAATTTTGCTTTATAACTTACTTTTGGTATTAAATGTAAATTGTAGGTTGTATCTTAACCAACTAAACCATTTAACTAATTTTTGCACAACTCTAAATTAAAAATAAATCTTTTTTCACTAACGTACCTAGCTATACCTGTGCTTTATTTTTTTTAGATTTTACCGTATTGACGTACACGTGCTTGTACCCGTACACGTGCTTCATAGGGTGGAAGACACAAGGTAAGATACCTCAAGGTATAGTATCAAGGCTAGAGTCTCAAGTCTCTATTCCTTCTGTCTTTTGTCCGGTGTAATGTGAGAGAACAAGGATGTTGTGGTAATTTTTTATTGGACTTCAGTGGTTATTATGGGGGATTATTTTTGTCCAAGAAGCACGGGTGGAGTGTGTTCAAGGGGCTAAATTAGTTCTTGCGAACAAATATAATACAATGCATGCAAATGTATTCTTCTTTAATTAGGAATGTTTTCTTGTTGTTTCTTTTCATGCAACACGTACTTGCATTTCTTTTTTTCTATCTCAGGGAAACAATATTCTTCTTTGACTATTTTCCACTCTTTTACTGATGATGAGTATAATGGCAGCCAAAAAAGTTGCTACGACAACATAAAACTTTAACGATCGTGTTGAAGGACAGGAACAGTTGCTTGTCAACAATTTATCATGCTACTAGAGCATGTAATAGATCATGTCTTTGAACCTCAACACCTACCCGATAATTATAATATTTGCACCTCTTTGGCCTGCTTTTGGAGGAGAATTTGGCCACATGTGAGGGGCTTGTTGAGGATATAATTTATAAATAGTGAAGTCACCACTTTCTCCAACAGTTTGAGCTTTTAGACGAGTTAACATTTATCAAATCATTTTGTTGAGTTTTAGTTAAAGAGTTGCACAATAGAAATACTTCAAAAGAGGGGTAGGGTTTAGAATATATATAATCTATATGATGTAGTATAATAAATAGACAATTAGTTAAAGAGTTGCACAATAGAAATACTTCAAAAGAGGGGTAGGGTTTAGAATATATATAATCTATAGGATGTAGTATAATAAATAGGCTAAGTGTTTGTTAAATAGCTTATTAGTTGTAGTACATAAATAGGTAATGTAATACTACTCACGTAACGATATGTAAGGAATAGGTGCTGCATTTCCTTGCTCGAGAACAAACATGATTCTCTCAACTTAGCCGTCTACAAATACATTGAACTTCATCCTTGCATCCTGGGCTCAACAACCATAGGTGTGTGATAGTTGCCAAAATGTATACATTTAGGCCCCTTAAAGTATACTCGTTAGGTCCTTTAATCATTGTTACTTGATGATTTTAATATATTTGTGTATGTGCAGGTCACTCAAGTTTATGAGTAGAAATTAGACTTAATTTCATATTTGAAATCCGAGACCACGCTCAAACTCAGCTCTGAAGGCCTAGAAGAATCTAATAATTTTAATCAAGCAATAAAAGCCTAACCCATGAGATTCGAAGAAAGAAAAGTAAAAACTGTTACAATCCCGTTATAGAAGTCACTCTGCACAGCCTTCAGTATTTTGAATGTATCTCTCTCGTCCGATATCAGATTTAAGTGATTCAAGCGGCATTGGAAAGATAACTCAAAGGGCTACGATTTTGTGTGAAATAGGAATTTTCTAATTCTGACTTTTGATAGGTCAAAACAGGCCAACAAGATGAACCTAAAAAGCTGAGAATAATTACATCCGAATTTTCCTTCCATTTAGGGAAATTCTAACCTCTTGGCTATTACTTAGAAGGGGCCCTAATGTCTGATTTTAGAGAGAGAAGGCGGAGGCTATCAAGACATGTGCGGCTAAGGAGCTCTCCTCTTGGGGGTTCGGATGAAACTCTAGTCAAGTAACAATGTTTTGTATTTAGTTTGGGATTTTATTATTGATTCAACAATTGTATAAGAAGGCTTTTTTATATTATTACTTTGTTTTGAATCATTCTATCTGGCACAGGTTCTTAGTTTCTGTGATTCTAATTGCATACTTATACAATAGTTTTCATTGATTTGCTTAAGATAGTCTATTCTAGGAGAGACGATTCATGCTAGTACTAGATAGTCTATGTTATTCGTTAAACTGCCAATTATCCTCTAGACGATACTGTTGGGACTTGTAGTCACTAATGGATCGTAGTTGAGTTGAATAATAAATCTATAAACTGTTACAACTCATTAATTACAAGGTTATGGTGGATTCAAAACCCCGAGTCTCTTCTATTTGATTGATACTAGTTTAATTATATTTATTTGTCTAATTTAATTAAGCTCAAACAAAATTCTTCTTTTCTACTTTTGAATTGATTTAAGAATTAATCTGAAATTTAAACAACTTAGCCTTTTAGTCCTTGTGGATCGATAACCAGACTAAACCACTATTCTATTGAATTAACGTATTAGTAAGGATTTATTTTTGGTATGCAAAACGACCTACCAATGTGTCCATATCCTCTCACTAAAAAACTCGGATAGACCCCCATTTCCAAACCCCTTCACCTCTAACCTGCATACTCATGCAGAAGAGTACTCATTCTATCGGAATGAGACCAATGGTTGGCAAATGACATTTTCCAAAGCAAAGCTAAGAAGATTGACACAATGATAGGATGGACCATGTATCCACTAGGCAAAACCACGACAGTAGTTGATCACGAGCTGAAATTTGGCATTGCACGAGTTCTTTCTTTCATCCCTTGGCACAAATGTGAACTGAGCACATAAGAAGCAACCTACTCAACTCAAAACAACTTTGTAAAGAGGTCCTGACGATAAACTTCAAATAATTTCTTTGAAGCTGTCAAAAATTTCAATGGCGGCTTGCGAAGTGACAAGCCGTCCACTCATTTGCTTCAACTCATCTTTTTTATTATGAATTTTGATTTGGATTAGTCAATGTCCCTCCCAATTAAGAACTTCATCTCAGTTTCTTCACCCAAAGTCCAAGCATAAGCTCTACCATGGCCATCTCAATGACCTCGATCCTGATTAGCCATAACCAAACAACCCAATATGACCCACAAACAGTCCAGATATGACGATTATACAGATCACAGTTTCAGACCCAATTTCACAATTGAGGACAACTCAATTCAATATCCATTCATAGCACTATGTAGCACCAAATAATCAAGATCCAATCCAAGAACAAGAATCAAGAATAAGATAGCTACATCGCGAATTGATTCAAGACAATTCCAATTGAGAAGAAAACTGAGTCAAACATACCAGAATTGAATTGAGTCATGTCGGTCAACTTGAAAAACAGAACTAGGTCAAATTTTGAATCACTTCTGAACATAGATCAAATCGTTGAGTTGATTTTTTTGGTAATCTGCAGTCACAACTTCAAAAGAAGACGAGTTCACTACTCCTGACATCAACTCGTTGTAGAGGGTTGAATCGCAACTTGCAATTGATTGTCGAAAAAGATTCACAGCTTCAAACCCAAGATGTAGAATCAAAGTGGTATAGGGAGTCCGAGGGAGTTGGTTCACGACGAGTTGCGATACCTAATTCAGCGACGCACTGGAGTCGAAGGACCAAACCCAGATTGAATCTCATCTTGCAAGTCAGATCGCAAGGCCAAACTGAAATCGCAAGACCAGTCAAATTTGAAGTCTGCAAACTTGACTCAATAAGAGGATTCAAGAACTCCAGCAAACACGAACTCAAATCAAAGAGCTAGGTTGCAATCGCAATGAACAATAGCAACTTTGAGTTTGCAATGGGTCTTCAAATTGCGATGGGTCTTCAACTTCGACTTCAGAGAGATTCTAGGTTTGAACTTTGAACCAGATACAACCCAAAACAACTGAACAAAAAAAAATCCCTCTTTCGTCTAGTAGAGTCAACGAAGCAATCTGGTTAAATTGTAATTTCCACTTGGACTTCAGAGAGAGATGGTTATTCCCTGGTACATATTCAAACAAATGAAGGGCTTCAAACTGAGATCTGAACTCGAACGAAGGCTTTGAGATCTTGTTGCGATGTTGAATCACCAATGCAAAAGGTCCAAACGCAAGTCGCGACTACAAAATCTAGGGTCCACTCTTGATTGCGATGTCAAATCTATGGCTTCAAATCAAATCAATCACACTTGTGATGGCAACTTCGGGTGAGATGATCTAGGGATCGCACCCAAGAATTTGGGTTTAGATCCAGAGTCAGGTGTGTTGCTCCTTTCTAATTGACGAGCTCTATGTACAATTAGAAACAATAAAATACAAGATCTTATGCTTTAATACCAAATAATGAAATCCAAATGCCAAATCAAGATCAAATTGAGAGAGAGAAGACAAATGCCCCAATTAGGGGTAAAACCCCTAAGGGCTAGAGAGAGAGACTAAGCTCTACTCCAATCACAATATATATTATTCATTCCAAATCTAAGTACAATGGGTATTACATCACCTGTTTATATACTACAACTAAGAAGCTATTTAACAAACTCTTAGTCTATTTATTATACTACATCACTAAAAAATTGAAATACAGTACATTCCAGACCAAATGAAGCCAATTACTTTGGGTAAACAAGTCTTCATTATATAAACATAATGGTAGTAGGACATACAGGGTTGTGCATCTCTTCACTCAGCCCAAAACTGACAAGAATTGAATTGACCAACATTGAAAAGTGATGTAACAGGAAGGAACCAGCTCCAAGCTGACATCCGATACAAGTCAATTCCATAAGATATCAAACACCAAAAAAAAGATCCTAATATCGCAATACTAAAGCAGAAAAGCACTTACCACCGATCCATATAAAGTGAGGTAGAAGACATTTTTCCTCCCAGTTGGTAATAATTTCATCCCCTAAACCAATTTCAGTAGCAGTCCATTGAGATATTTCATCCATAAATTCAGAAGAAACATATGAAACTAGGCAGTAAAATGTTTTATAAAATTATAGCACTTGCATACAAAATGATAGTAAACCCATGCTCCAACAGATGTAACACTAAAAGAATGATAAAGACAGAGAAAGAGGAAGAGAAGAGAAGTAAGAAGAGTATGAAGAGAGGGGAGAAAAGGGAAAGTTCCAAAGCAAAATCAAACATATTCAATAATCAATATCCAAATCAAATCCTGAAATTCATTACACCAAATCAAACTAATAAGAAGAATCATCAAATATATTCCCCATCACCAACAATTCAGCCAGCAATAAAAACTCAATTGAAGAATAATGAATCTAACACAAGTCATAATGCTAAGTTTTCCTCTCATAAGAAGGGTAACTAGGCCTTTATGTAGGAGGATTATTCAGCGTTGAATGAGTATTGAAAATTGAGAGTTGTATTTGAGTATTTTAGGGTTTGTTTTGTTTTATGTGTGGTTTATTCTTTTCCGGTTGTTCTACATCACTTAGCCCTAATTAACTGGCTTCAGGTACACGAATTTGTTTTCTCCTATCCACTCTATTCCAATCCATATTCTTAATTAAGTCTGAAGCAATCATGTAATTTGTCACCGCCACATCCCATGTCACTCCCTTTTTTTTCTTTTTTTCTTTTTTTGATAATTCCCATCCAGTGGCAGAGTCAAGAATTCAATGAAGAGGGAGCACAAATTAATGACAACATTGATTTTGTTTTTTTCTCATAATAAACAACAATGACATATTACTAAACTTAAATATTAAGAGTCCATTTGGATAAATGTGAATTTCAAATTAAAAGATTTGAGGTTAAATGTTAAACAAATATTGGAGAGTAACTAGTTTAGGTGGATTGAAAATTTTATTTTAAAAAAAAAAAAAAAAAAGAAGTTGAGATAAAACACGCCACAAAAAAGTGTATCATATGCCGCAGTTATGATCTTTGTGGTCTTTAGTTATGACACATTGTAGTATTAGATATAACTAAATTATAACTTCCTGTGGTTGTTATTTTGATTATGACTAAAGAGGTCTTTGGTTATACATCAAATAATGGTTAGGTATCACTCATTCTTATATTAGTTATGACCTATTGTGATTTTTTTTTCATTTTTGTTATAATTGAAGATATATTGCTTGGTTATAATTTATACAGTAGTCATTTTCGTTATAAAGGAAATAATTTAGTTATGAAAATTTATAATATCAATACCATAAAGTCATAACTTGTATATGGTACACCCTTTAAGAGTTGTATAATAGAAAGACTCATTTTAGTAGGTTCTTTGTAATTAGAAGGAAAATGTATAATAGAGGGACTATTACAAATTTAAGAAGGGATATTATTGTAATTTTATAGAGGATATATATGACATAATCTATATATATAGGGGTACTAATATAATTATCAAAACTTCAAGGTCACGTCCCCACCTCCCTCCCCCAAGCCCTACACTAGCTCCGCCCCTGTTCCCATCCTATGCCACTCTTGACCTTCCTCTTTTCTTCTTGGCACCATGGACCCAGATCAGATCACTCTTTACAGGAACATTAATTGGTCAACGTTAAACAACTATTACTCATTGTATCTTCAATAGGTGCCACTCTAAATTATGCAATACAGAGACGAGAAGATTTTTCCATCCTCTTCATCATTTAATTCTAAAGCTGGAGAAGTACAAAAATCTAAGCCCTATTTTTATTTCTTATCATTTCTTCTCCTTTGGAGAGACCATGAAATTATAAAATCCAGACAGGTTATAAGATTTTTGGTTGTTATTGATCATATAGCCAATATTACCGGTGAGTGCCTGTATTTTCTACAACCAGATTTTTGTCAAAGGTTGCAAAGGTTTCATGTTGAAAACATTTCAAGATTTTTGTACAAATAAACAAGCCAACAACTTTGATTTTTGTTATGTGACAGAAATTGAAAGCTTACGAAGAATAAGTAGAGCACCATATGAGAGAACAAAGCAAAATAAAAGGCAACAGATTTTTTTTTTCTTCAAAAAAAAAAACTACTATACAATGCACATCGAATCCAAATACCTGAAAACGAAGGATAATAATGGCAAGAAAAACTCCAGCAGCCATTGAACTGCTATAATAGAAGGGAACCCAACTGCTGACCACTGGTGCCAACAGCAATAAAACAAAACCAAAAGCAAGACAAAAGAGACGCCATCTTTGAAACTCTGCACAAACCACAAAAGCCAAAGACAAACATCAAAAGATGGAGGGAGACAGATAAATTAAACCCACGCACCAGGAGATAAATCCCTGACCTTTATCAACTGTTACCGTCACATAACCAGCAATTTATCAACAAACTTCACTTCAACATATCTGTCCTCATAAGGTGACATTACAGAGCTCCAAAGCTCATTGTGGACAGTTTTCCATTCATCGGTTTCACATTGACACATACCACGTGAAGCATTCCTACAAAACACTTTCTATGTGAGATACTATTTTCAATCAACATAACTATCGCGTTGAAGTATCAGCTACGTTACACGGACTCTTTGTATTTTGAGAGGTACCCCTGTCAACACAACACAACACAACACAACACTGATAAGGAATATGGCCAGGATACGGCTAAATACAAACGGATACGGTCGATTTTCTTTTCTATTTTTCATGGCAGCAACAAAGAAGGAGGAGGAGGAGGGGAGAGGGAGAGAGAGAGAGAGAGTGAGAAACATGGTTCGAGACCTCATCGTCGTCGCCGTTCATCATCTCCATCTTCTGTATTCATCTTCGTTGATGGCTGCTAGGGTTATATTAAAGGGTTTGGTGCATTTGGGCTTATTTAAGATACACTTTGGTCTGTTAATAAAATGGGGCTTCCAATAAAAATTATAAGGCTATTGGGCTGGCTGGCTTTTAGAGCATCTCTAACGTTGAATCAAAAATTTCATCAAATTTGAGTAAAAATTTGATGAAAAGTTTGATTTGATACCGGTTCACTCTAATACTAAACCTAGAATTTTCATTAGATTTTTTCACATCCCTGGTTGTCCTGGAGGACATCCGGGCGGATGTCCAAGAGGTCGCCCAGATATGAACAAAAAAGGCTGTCAAAGTTGCTTTTGGGGGACATCCGGGAGGATATCTGGCCCAACGATAACAACTTAAATTTGATAAAAGATGAAAGCCTCCATTTGATGAAAGTTTTGGTTCATCCCTCATTTGATATGAGTTTGATGAAAGGGTTAGAGGTTCAACAGTTGCCGTTTTTCATCAAATTTAAATTTGATGAAATATTAGATGCAGCCTTGGAGATGGTCTTAAGTGAGTTTCTCATGTATCGGTCTAATACTAATTAAGGAGTTGGAATTTAACTTATATCCCTGGAAAATAAATTATTCATTTTTTTTAATAACGTTATATATAATTTTTATTCAATATTTTTTAACTACAAATGTGTAGCATCATCATAAAAATATGTAATCATTTTGAGCCATAAATTATTGTAGCTTTATCAAAAAAATACATAATATTATTTTGACACATCCATGTTTAGCCTTGTATCCACATACTCGTGTCTAATTTTGGGTACTTTTTAGATGTACTCGCGTATCCCTCATCTAGAGTTTTGCCGAGTCCGAACCCTAGATACATACTCGCACCCGACACTTGTGCCCAAGTCCATGTAACGTAGAGTATCGGGGAGAGAAAGAGGGTGGGAGTTAAAAGAGTCAAAATTCAAGGACATTTTACTCACTGGTGAAAACAAATTTGAATTTTGTTGTGCACTCTCAAGAATTACTGCAGATGGGACCAATTTAACCTGATATGCACTGGCATAACTCCCAAGTTCCAATCTTGACTGACCAGCAACTCGAATGCGTTCACACAATAAAACATCTTTGGAACCATGAGAAGATGATGTATAAGCAGTGAGGGGAGATGGAATGACATCAATAACTGGATTTTCCAAATCAATGCCTGTATTATTAACATTTAGAGATAATTAATTATCAAAAAGAAATATACAACCAATAAAAAAAGGGAACATTGGAAGTAAGTAGCAAAACTGAGATAGAAAAGAAATGACGTGTTCTAAGAATTTCATGATAGACATCATGTAACACATCCCTTAAATTAGTATTTCCCGCACCACATTACTCAAATGAACCACAAATTCAGCCTTTGAAGTGACATATTCTGAAAATGTCATATTGTAGTTGGACAAGCCCAACCACCAATATAAAAGTTAATTATGTTGTTGTTGACCTAATAGAGACCCTAATTCTATTAACAACTGTGAAATTTCCAAGTTACAAAACTTGGGAGATCTCATGTAAATGAAACTCCTTTACCTACATAAAGCACATTTAGTATGACCATGAGGTTAAAACATTCGTCTCATGAATCACGTCCATTATATATGAAAACCTATGAAGCACATGCACTCCATCTAGCCTAATATATAAGTATCCAACACATCTAGGACATGGACAAGTTCGAACACGCGGCAAACACGTGTCAAACATGCCTTCTCTTGTATCCCACTTTTGTTCACTTCTTTTAGTTGCTGGATACACCTCCGACACTCTCCGAACACTTCTCGGACACAATGATGGCAAAAAAAAAAAAAAATCACTGATTTTGTTCTTGCTACCTGTAGGAACTCTAGATCTGTGATTCACAGAGAAAGGAGATGAAGGAAGAAGTCACACAAGAGACAATAACAGTATAAGAAGAAGCATACTTACCTGGTCCAACTTCGTCTTCTTCAACAGAGGCATCCTGGGTTCAAATTCATTTTTTATTTTTTTTCCACTTAATGGGGTAGGCTTTCTTTTAGTTGGTCTGTTGTACATTGTTATGGGCTTTGTGGGTGTTTTATTCTAAATTGCCACAGACCCAATTCATTGTGCATGGCTTTCTACTTGGACTACATCAAGCAGGTTTAAAAATCAAGCCTATTATGTCAAAGCACGATGTGGGAAAAACTATATTGCAAGCCAATCCGAGCAAAGAAATAAACAAATAGTTTATTATAAATAAATCACAATAAAAAAATTTAAAAAAATAAAACACAATATTGATTTAGTAATTATTTTCTAAATTCATGAATATTGTAATATATATGACATAAATATATAAAAATATTATTTTTCTATATATCCCCCAATGTGCCGCGTCCTGAAATTTTGAAAAATTGCCGTGTTGGCATATCCGTGTTGTATCCGTGTCTATGTCCCTGCTTCTTAGATGAAAACATTTCAAATAATAAAGCATGAACATAACATTTATTCCAATAAATAAATAATCAAATACATGAATCTAATTGGCCTAAAAACATATACCTCATGAAGCACCAATACTCCAAAATATGTGTTGTAGCGGTGTCGAAGAGGAGAACACAGGGGGGACTCGTGTGTCCCTTTATTTAATTACGTTTTTTTCAAGGAACACCCCAACTAGTTTTTTATCCCCTTTTCTTAGTTCTTTTTATGCATATTGGATGTTGAACGATTATTACTTTTTGCTTAAATTTAAATAATTAATAGATGTCGATGGTGTGGTGTGGTGAGGTTTCTTTGCAGTCTTGTTTTCCATTGATTTTTCGTATTGCCATTGATCAGGAGGCTATAGTGGCGTCTTATCTAGATGGGGTTGAAGGTGCGGTGGTTTGGGATATTATATTGCTCCGGCAGGTTGTTCAGGATTGAGAGGTTGGACAGTTGGTGGATTTACTGAGTTTCTTGTACCGGGTGCAGGTTTAGGGGGGTGAGGGAGAACGTGTTGGTGTGGGGGGGTTAGGTGCAAAAAAGGCGTTTTCTCGATTTTGTTGTTCTACCGGGCTTTGTCTAGTGGTGTGGAGGGGGAGTTTCCTTGGCATCGTGTTTGGGTTACAAGTGTTCATCTAAGGTGGCGTTTTTTGCGTGGAGGGCAGCTTTAATCAGATTCTAATTATTGATAATTTGGTTCGCCATCGTTATTTTCTTGTAAACTGGCGTTGTATATGTTATGGTAATGCAAAGTTTGTGAATCACTTGCTTATCCATTGTCCTGTGGCTTATCGTTTGTGGGTGCTTATCTTCTCTACTTTTGGAATTGCTTGGGTTCAACAAAAGGGGGTGATGGCGGTCCTCTAGAGTTGGGGAGGGGGAGGGGGATGGTGTAAGATTTCTGAAAGTTTTCTGTATGTTCAATTGTGTAATAATACAAAGAATATATCTGATTATATAGTAAACCTAACCTCAAGACTAAAGGAAACACTGCCATATATATAAACCTAAAGCACTGCAATATATATATACCTATACAATCTCTCAAAAAAGAAAACACTGGCTAATCTAATATTCTCAGAAAAGAAAACACTACCTAACCTAATATTCTTACACCCCCGCTCAAACTCAAGGTGTTGTAGCAGAGAACACTGAGAGTTTGCTAAGAAGAAACTAAAACTGAGCAGCGGTGTGAGTCTTGGTAAAAAAGTCAACAAGTTGCAGAGCCAAAGAGACGAAAGGAAGCGAGATAGAGCTGGACTGCCGATGCTAACGGACAAAGTGAAAATCAATCTCAATGTGCCTTGTTTGCTTATGGAAGGCAGTGTTATGGGAAATCTGAATAGCACTACGGTTATCACAATAGAAGGAGGTTGGAGAAGACTAAGGGACCCAAGTCAGAGAGAAGACAATGAAGCCATACAACTTCAGCAATAGCATGAGCCATAGCACGGTACTCAGTTTCGGCAGTAGAACAAGCAGCAACAGTTTATTTCTTGCTTTTCCAAGAAATGAAGGAATCGCCAAGAAACATATAAAAACCAAAAGTGGACTTACGATCTGTAACATCACCAGCCCAATCAGCACCAGCATAGGCAACCAAAGCAAAGGAAGAAGTAGAGGATAACAACAATCCTTGGAAGATAGTATTGCGAAGATAGCAACGAATCCGAACCAAAACAATCCAATGTGTACAACGAGGAGCAGAAATGAACTGCCTAACAACATGAACAGCATAGGCAAGGTCAGGACGAGTAATCGTCAGATAGACTAAGCAACTCACGAGCTCCCGATATAATGTAAGATCAGGCAGAGAAACACCATTAGTAGTATTAAGTTTCACATTAAGCTTAATGGGGGTATCAGCAATCTTAGTGTCAGTAAGACCAGCACGGTGAATAACTTCATTAGCATACTTGGCCTGAGACAGAAAGTAGCCCTTGGGAGAAGAAGCCACCTCAATACCAAGAAAGTACCGCAATAGGCCCAAATCCTTCATTTCGAAGGTGCGGAAGAGATACTGCTTGACCTCAGAGATAGTAGAAAAATCAAATCCAGTAATAATCATATCATCCACATACAGTAATAAGACAACAAACCCAACAGAGGTGGAGGAGAAACAAAGTAGAGTCCTGGGTAGAAGAACGAAACCCAAGCTTAATAACAGCAGTCTGAAAGCGATCATACCAAGCAAGAAAAAATTGCTTCAAACCATACAGAGCACGCCGAAAACAACAAACCTGTCTAGAGGAATAGTGAAGGCCAGGGGGACGCATGTAAACCTCCTCAGCTAGATGACAATTAAAAAAAGCATTCTTAACATCCATCTGATAAAGAGGCCAATGACAAATAGCAGCGACAGATATAAAAGTACGGACAGTAGCCATCCTGGCAACAGGGGCAAAGATCTCCTCATAATCAATATCATACTCCTGGGAAAAACCCTTTGCAACTAGGCGAGCCTTGTAGAGGTCAAGAGAACCATCAAAATGAGTCTTGACATTGTAGACTCATTTGCAACCAACTAGGTTATTACCACCAGGCAAAGGAACCAACTCCCAAGTATTAATTTTCTGCAAAGCAGACAACTCATCCTCCATAGCTTGAATCCAATAAGGATCCTAATAGGCCTCCTTGTAAGACTGAGGTTCTGAAAAAGAGTGTATAGCAGACAAAAACGTATAGTAGGAAGAAGAAAAACATGTTTTAGCAAAACCAAGTTTGACTATCTATTTACGGATGTGAAGGGCATACTTACAGTTAGCAAGATCAGACAGAAGCAGGGAGATCAGCAGCAGGGGCAGAGACAATTGGTGAAGGGAGAGCCTTGCGACAAGAATATACTAACAATGGAGGGAGAGAAGGAGCCGCCGGGAGAGAAGGTGAAGAGGATGTAACAGACTCATGTGACATGTTTGATTGACAGGATTAGAACATGGGATTGGAATTATTAATCCGTAGGCCCAATAATCCTGTGTTTGTTTTAAAATTTTGTTTCAGGATTATTAATTCAATGGATAATTAATCCAACAAATTTATAGGATTATTAGTAATGGGGTAAGGGTGGGATTATATATCCTGAGCTGGGAAATAAAATAAAAAAACTCCTTTACCCTTGACTAAAAATTAAAACACTTATTATTTTTATATAATTTTATATTTTAGAAGGCTAAAAATAATTTTTTCAAATTTAAAAATATTTTTTGATATTTATTTTATCAAATTAGTTTATATTTTTTTAAAAAAAAAAATTAAAAAACAAACCAAACATGGCCTTTGTATTTTATATTTTTATTTTGCTTTTATTTATTTATTTATAATTTTTTTCAAAACCACGTTTATAAAGAAATTTTGATAAAGTAAAAATTGTGAAGAAACATTGATAAAGGGTTAGATTGGAAAAGAAGATAAATATAGTTGTAATCCTACATTCATATTTTTTTTATCCAATGCAAATCAAACAATGGACAAAGGGATAATTTATCCGACTAATTTAATTCGATAGTGAATACCACACTAATTTGATAGAATTATTAATATATTCACTATTAGTCTTATGAATCAAACATAGTCATGGGTACAGTGGAAAAGGACTCTGCATGAGGGTGAGACAAGAAGAAGATGGAACAAACTCATGGGGAGCAGCAAAGATGTACTAATCAGGAGGGACCTTAGAAGGAAATGGATCAATATGAACCAAATCCTCTT